GTGGCCTAGTGGCCTGGCAGCAGAGCTGGGAACGGCTCCCACAGACAGGGTATGGCCTAGTGGCCTGGTGGCCTAGTGGCCTGGTGGCTTAGTGGCCTGGCAGCAGAGCTGGGAATGGCTCCCACAGACAGGGTGGAGTATGCCTGCTCCCTGGGGGCAGGTGTCCTTCACAGGCTAGTCAGGGGCTGGTGGCCATGGTTTGTATGGAGCAGTGTGAGTGAGGATGGGGTACTTGGAGCAGGTAGGCAGAAGCCAAGTCAGGGGCTCCTGGCCCTCCCACACGAAGGCATTGTGGAGTCACTAATGGACCATGGTCAGGGGTGGGAGGACCATAGGTTGCCAGTCCCACTGGTCAGAGGAGGGCACTCCCCCTGGGCAGGAGCAGGACCACAGGTCGGGACTTGGGGGACGCCAGCAGGGTGAGGTGGGAGGTGAAGAGGGGAGGGGCAGGGGACCAGCAGTTGGCGTAATGGCTATGTTGTTGGACTCCCATGTAGTCGACCGTGGTTCACGTCCCCGGAGGCGTGGCTTAGAACTCACGTCAGGTGCGGATGCGTGCGTGCCCAAGATCCCGAGAAGAGAATGGAGGAGAAGGGATTGCGCGTGCCCATCCCCTCTGGGGGGTGATTTCTTGCTTTCTGTCTCTGTCTCTCTCTCTGTCTTTCTGGCGAGCGCACGTGCCCTATAGCAAAAAAAAAAGTCTCAAAAAAAAAAAAAAAAGAGGGGAGGGGCTGCTGGGGAGAGGAGGCTTGTCCCAGCCCAAGCACTCCACACAGGGTGACGAGCAGGCGCAGCTGGTGGGACGCCTAGAACAGCACACATCGTGAAAATGAGCAGAGAGCACAACCCCCAGACCCTGGGGCCCACCCGTCAGCAGGGAAAAATAACAGGGCAGACCAGGAAATAGGAACTGCCGCCCTGGATGGCTCCAAACATCCCACGCTGCGGCTCACGCTGAGCGATGCATGGCAGGGCTGTTTCCCACGACACCTGCCAAGGCCTGCCGACACTGCGCTTCCTACCCGGTGTGTTCTGGAAGCGTGGGGGGAAACACCTGCCCACACTGACAGCACCAGTGGAACGGTCAATGCCGGGCACAGATCCACCAAGCAGACTGGTGCTCCGTAGCAACCAGGTCAGGTCGCCAACCGCCAACGGCTACGCGCCTCCAACTGGCCTGAGCTGCCTTTCCCAGTGGACAGGGGTCAGCGTTTCCAGCCGGGGGCTGCACGCCCTCACATCTATGGAGAAGAGACGGTAAAATAGGTAACCGAAGCCCGGGTCATAAGA